AAATGAATCCCTCTTCATTTCCAAGTGAATGCCTAATAGAAGAAGCTGAATCTGATAGACAAACCACAAGCTAAAATGCAAGCAAGCAGATTTGATACTAGGTGCAGAAGTGAGAAGAGAAAATGAAAACAAGATCCCAAAAGATTTTTAAAAACACTTTACTAGAAATAACTAAGGAGCAGCAATGAATTTAAATCTTCTGGTCATGAACTGAAAATTATTCTGATCTGAAATGGATATATGCAGTTTACAGTTAGTATTAAGTATTTGGTATATGATTGAAATTTAAGAGTACCATCCATTAAAAAGCCAAGGCATTATTTACTAATAAAAAAGATATAACAAGAAGAGATTTAATGTGTCACTGAGGAGGTGTATCAAAAGGCATAACTCTGCCAGTCAGCACTTGAAGATCAGTATTCTATCACATAAAATGTGGCAGCATCTCTGTATGGACTACAGAGAACTAAATCATATTGTTGGAAAAACAATCTGATCTGTTATCACTGTAAGTGATACTCTGGTTTCTGTAGCACATTCAACCATGCCTTTTACTTTGGATATTAGAACATGAGTATTGACAAGTGTACAAGAAATGACTGCTCTCTCAGCTGGGCAAGATCTCTATAGACATAATGCTAGGGTTTTCACTTGTGCACATTCACTTTTGAGCAAATTTTGTTTGATGATGTGGTATGATGCAGCTGGATATTTGCTGTAGTATGTCACACCTTTTGAAGAGGAGCTCTAAACCCTACAAGTGGTGTAGTGTAAGAAAGAAAATTAGACTTTACAGAACTTGACAATACTGTCTGGTCAGGAAAAAAGGATTCTTCTGTAGTACACCCTCAGGAAGTTTGCTGACAACACTAAGCTGAGTGGTGTGAACAACACACTGGAGGGAAGGGATGTCATCCTGAGCGACCTTGAGAGACTTGCGAGGTGGGCCTGTGTGAACCTCATGAAATTCAACAAGGCCAAGTGCAAGGTCCTGCACATGAGTTAAGGCAACCCCAAGGACAAATACAGGCTGTGAGGAGAATGGGGTGAGATCAGCCCTGCTGAGAAGGACTTGGAAGTGCTGGTGGATGAGAGGCTGGACATGATCCAGCAATGTGCACTTGCAGCCCAGAAAGCCAGATGTATCCTGGGTTGCATCAAAAGCGTGGTCTGTAGGTCAAGGGACACGATTCATCCCCTCTACTGTGCTCCTGTGAGACCCCACCTGGAATACTGTATCCAGCTTTGGGTCCTGCAACATAAGAGGGACATGGACCTCTTGGAATGAGTCCACAGGAGAGCCACAAAGATGATCGGAAGGATGGAGCACCTCTCCTATGAGGAACACCTGAGAACTGGGGCTCTGGGAGACTTTATTGTGTCCTTCCAGTACCTAAAAGGGTACAAGAAGGCTGGAGAGACTTTTAACAATGGGTTTATTAGGATTAAAATTTTTTTACGGTGAGGGTGGTGAGGCACTGGAACAGATTGCCCAGAGAAGCTGTGGCTGCCACATCCCTGGAAGTGCTCAAGGCCAGGTTGAATAGGGCCCTTCCACTAGACCAGGTTGAGTAACCTGGTCTAGTGGAAGGTGTCACCCATGGCAGGGGGTTATGTAATTCAATTCAACTCACACTTCACAGTTCATAAATTTTGCAAAAACACCACACAGATTGAGGGAAACCTTTTGGGTGTTTGAAAGTATGAATTTACATGTTTGGTGTTTAAACAGGTTCTTGTGGTTACCTTTTGTTAAACTACTAAGGTAATCATTAGACATAGATGATGTCTCTAAAACTGAAGGTAATTACTGAAAAAAAAAAGGATGGAAAGATTGGAAGCTGAAGCTGTATTATAGCAGAAGTCCAACTCCTTTGTAGAGAGAATACTGAGGTAGCCAGTCCTTTCACAATGGTGCCCAGTGACAGGACAAGAGCTAAACATAAGAAACCACTTATTTTTTTCTGATGCTAACTCATGATGAACATTGGTATTGGTTGCCCAGAAGGGCTGTGGTATCTCATATCCATAGAGATATTCAAATGGACATGGTCCTGGCAAGGCAACTTGCTCTGGCTGACCCCGCTTGGACAGGAAGGGTGGTCTAGAGATCTCAAGAGGCCCCTTCCAACCTTGACCCTGCTGTAATTCTGTGATACTGTGCCACTCAAGAGGGAACCCGCAAGTAGATACACCTGCAAAGCACTTTCACTGCAATTTCTGTGGGAGTAAAATTATTTTGAATGTGTGATATTAAGATACAGGGATAGTATGGTACCTATAAATAAGTTTGCTGGGAGAGTTAATACCTTTTATGTCTGCTCTGTGTTTGGGGAAGGGACCGACAGCATAATATTACAATATTCCCAGGACTAATGATGCCTTACATTTTAGCTTCTGTATTTTTCAGATTCTGTGCTGCTTTAGTGTGTAACTCTGAGCTTCATACTAAGTGTTAGCAAGTTCTCCTCTCAGGATAGGTAGACAAAACAATCCTTTTCCAGCTTGTCCAAGGACAACTGTTACCAGCTCCAGGCCCAAAAAGTATAAACAAAGGTGGACTGAAGAGAGAAAATAAGGAGGATGTAACTTCATAACCTAAAGCTATAAGTGGACAATTAACTCCAATATGCAAATGGGCCAGAATTTTTAAAAGTGAGAGACCTCATGACCAGTCATTTTTGTGACCATTTTGGCTTCATCTTGGATGTAGCCCTGGCTAGGCCCTTAAACTGCCCAAGGTGTATCCATTAAGTCTTTTAATAAATGCCTACTTTATTCTTTAACTCTATCTAGTCTCTGTTCTAGGTCAGCCTTCTCAAGGCATCATTAAGGGTTAGAATCTGCAAAATCAAGAGGCAATTGTAAAGCATGACTGAATACTTCCCAGTATGACTAAGCCCTGTTTGGGAAAAGAAAGATACAGTCTAGAATACTGCCTTTAAAAGCTTGTTCCAATTCACCATGTGATCTTTTTGCACTGTAAGAAAGATAGGAAAGCTGTAACAGGGAATTTTATGAGATGGATTATACTTCAATGGTACTGCTATAATTGCTACCCTTTGTTTGAGGAAAATGTTCAAGACAAGAAACTCCTTACATCTAAACTAGATCTTCCACCTAAACAAAGGCATATGCTATTACTGAAAAGAGACACACAGAATAGTAGGGATTTTCTAGATACTGCTTTGGGAAACATTGCATGCCTGGCAGAAATCCACAGACCAGAGAAATGGCTTGTATCTGCTGTGTTCAGGGAAACTGTACATTACTCAGTACAGGACACTGTTTGAGCTTTGTTTGTTTGAGCTTTGTTTGTTTAACCTGACTTTATCCTAATAAATTGCCAGGTGCAGTGTTCTTGCTAGCCATGTGGACAAACTGACGACAATGAGGTTAGGAAAACAAAAATCATATTGTCCTGGCTTCCATTCTTGAATTGACCCTTACTGGTTTCTATGATTTGAAATCCTGTTCAATTAACTTTTTTACAGAACCGTGGTGCAAACACTGAGTAGCGATTTAGATGTAAGGCTTTAACTCTAAATTATTGTCCTACTGTAGTAAGATTAATAGAAAAACTTGGAGATTTTTTCCTAAATCAAAACTGTTCTAGTCTCCAAAATGCAGTTATTTTAGGATGGTATCAACATATCTACAACAACAGAGCCTGATAAATTACCCATCTGTCACAGCTGAGCTTTTTCTAGATGATCTCTGACAAACTTCACTATTTTGTAAATTTTTGTTGTAGACAGTTCCAAAAGGCTTCCATCAGTTGTGGATTTGGTGCCCATCATAACAGATTATACTGTATTTTAGCAAAATGGCCATCATTAGAAATAAGTTCAAATTCTAGATACAATTTTCGAAAAACCTCAGAATCAGAAATTGCTGGATCAAGCAACAATAACTGAATTCAAGAGCTCCAGATTGCTTTTTTATTATTGGTCCTACCTTTCAGGATCCCTAAAAAGTCCTGTGCTTTACAAAACAGAGAGACCATTGGAGGAATTCTTAACAACTGATATGCAAAGTATACTGGAATATGTTGGCTCTATGGCTTGGTCTGTAGTAGTTTTCTGATTTTACTGCATATATTCATATATTATACTGTGGTTATTCATACATCTTTAATACATATTCTCTTATAGCTGGAAACTTTTTTGAGGTGGAGCCACCTCATAAAACTATTCATAAGACTATTGCCTGCAGGAGCATAATCCATCTCTGCAGCAGTCTGCATTGATTGCTCTGTGTCTCAAATTATGTACATTAAGAAGAAAGGTGTCCACTCTCATCCTTTTCTCCTGAGAAGACACAGGAGTGATGCAGATCAGTTTGCAACATAAACTCCCTGAACAAGTGTTGCCAATCTGCTCAAAGGAAAGTACAGAAAGCCAGGCGGAACCATCCCAGAGACACAAATTTTATATATATATATATATATATTTATATATGATGGCAGTTGGACCTCTTTATACAGTGAGCTTCCCAGCAGGAAGCTTATCTACATTGTTAGGAATATGAAAATATTTTAGCAATAAAGACCACTACCAAAGAAAGTGGGTTTATTTTTCATTTATTCTGGATTCCCATATTCATTCAATTACTGCTTCACAATTTTTTGCTGCTCCAGTTCTAATCCCAAATTCAAATATCCTAATAAGAGACTCTAACTCCACCCCCCAAACAATCACTTCAAAATATCAATGCCATTTTACGTTCTCTCTTACATAATGTCTGCATTTAAGGCACTTCCCTGGCTACCACTACACTGAACAACAAATTTAAGCTTCTAGCTAAAAGGTCTGATATACTTCAGTCCTGATGACTTTTATAAATGGAGGCTTTACTGAGTATCAGTCTGGATCTGATTTTAGCCCCAGAAGTCATTAAAATAGCAGCAAATATTATTCAGTCATAAATCCTACCATGAGGAGAAGAAAATGTCCAGTTGGCCAGGAAAAGCTGTCCAGCTGGCCTTTTAAGGCAGCTCTAACTCCCTTTTGTACCTTTCTATGAAAGAAAGATCACAATATTTAATTAAATAAAGTTACACAGATTTGTTAGCATACTAAAAGTTATTACATTAAGAGATGATAACACAAAATACTTAAAATGGTACAAATTCTTTACTCAAGGTAGTAAATGTTTTTTGAGTGAACAACAGTATACCAGCCACAGAGCACAGTGACTAAATTCTTTATAACATTGGTTAAATCCTCTCTTCCCTTAGAACTCTAATATTCATAAATCTACTAATAAAGCCACGTTAGGTTGTGAAATCTATTTCTGTATTCACAGCTTACTTTAATTTTGAAAGGATCCTCAGAAAGACTGCAATCTTCTTTTTGTAATAGGAAGAAAGGAGCACACTTTATCAGAAGTGCTTCTAATTCCCTGTAATCAACTTGTCAGTCTTTGGCTGCCAAAGTTTCAAGGTAGATGCCTGATCATTAAGAATATTAATCAACTTGGGAGCTCCTGCAAAATTACAAGAACTATTTCATAACTGAACCTAATTTTTCCCCCCTCTTTTTTTTGTTTCTTCATAAAGCCACAAGAATTGGCCCGTGGACCCCAAGGTGTATGTACCCTCAGTTGAAAATCACTCTTCCACAAAAAAGTGGAAACTTAAAACCCCAGTAATTTTGCTAACAGACTCAAAAGCATTGGGTGTCTTTGTATCTAGGTTTTCATACTAGAAACATCATGTTCAGATATGACATTAATTCAGAGGATATTGGCAGACCAATATAAATTAATGAAAAGTCCAGGGTGTCCTGTCAATTTCTAGTAACAGCTCTTAACAAGTGAAGGACAATAGGGTGTTATTAAATTACAAAAAAAAAAAATAAATTCTGCCAATTCATTATTTAATGAAAACTTTGCTATGCTATAGATTGATGTCTGATATAACTCCATTAATTCAGATGAATTACATCATATGAATTCAACCTGAGTGACTTCACATCACTCTAATATTTAATTAGAACCCTTACTGCCTTTTAATGCACATACATTTAATCTGCTAACAACATGAAAAGTATAATTTAGCAAGCACAGGCATCTCGAGTGAATACCTCCTCTCTCTTCCTGAACACCGAACAATTTCTGTTCTACTGGTTATGGCATTTCTGCCTACAGAACTCCTACAAGTTCTTCATCAACATCTTCACAGCTAAGGCTGGACAAAGGAAAGCTTCCCAACAGAGGGATCAGTCTCAGCCGAGAGAGGCAAACTGCCCTGCTCCACCCAGGAGAGGGCACTCTTACACCTGGCCACGAACCGGACATGGACACCTACAGGAGGAACAGGAAAGTTAAGATGACATCCTGAAACTCGGTCAACTTGCACGAGCAGTTAGTTATTTTTATGATAACGCTAATCACAGGTAAGTTGAATCATCCAGACGCTGCCACAACAGGAACGCAATATGACAGACAATAAACGTGTGGGCTAAATTTATTCTTAGTCTCTGAAATGTGCTGAATGATATGCAGACAAAAACGACAATTTCTGCATTTCTCTGGTAAAAGCTGGGACCATAGAAAGAGAGCTGTAAGTGGACCTTCAGTGGAAAACGAAGGTTAAATTAAAGAATAACCTAGTAATATGAATATTAGCTGTTGCTTTTTTTAAAAAAAATAAAGCATTACTATAAATAAGCATGCAAACATTTAAATGCAAAGTGCATATAAACTAGTACTAACAGCCTATTAAGTTAATCCTTATATGGATATCTCATGAAATAAATAAAATAAGAATTTAAAATGCTACAGGTTCAACTCCTGTTTCTGAAGGGATAGAAATCAATATACATCTCTCTTGAGACAGCTTTGCTCTCCAATAAGTAATCCTCCAGCAACAAAGAGAGAAGATCAAGCCTGACATTTTTGATTTTTCTAAACTAAAGAAGTCGAGATGAAGAGGTGGTAGTTTTGTTATGCAAGACATAAAACAGTAAAAGAGAAATAGAATGCTGCATACTGCAAAGTTAATGTTTTCAAAAATCTTATTTTCCTCTAATCACAGGGGACTATCTCAATAATTGCAAATTTTCTCTGAGTAATTCTACTATAAAAATGTTATATTGATATGAAAATAATAACATTCAGAAAACATGGAAATGAGAAAAAGATCACCAAGAATCTTAACTTGGAGAACAGAAAGCACTTAGTGCTGTCATAAGCATCTTGGAGTCCCCAGGCAGAGAGAAGAACCATGCACTTGGGGCTGGATTGGATGTACAGCGAGTCCATTGTGCACAAACTTTGCGTGAGCCAGAGCCACTTTTCCATGAAAATGTGAGGAACTCTTTCCTATATATAAGGTTCACGACAGACAGTACTTCCCACATGGCATGGGAAATGACAGTGTTTAGGATGTTTGGTTATCCCAGCATTGGCTAATGAATATTGTTAGCCTTTCCATACTGAGAGCTTAGGCTGAGGCCCTACAACCACTGGCCCTACCAAGGTTCCTCCTGCAATAACCTTACATCGTTTGAACTTCACCTATGTCTCCTTCTCCCACTTCCAGAAACCTTTCAAAACAATATGCCAATCATAATAAACAATGCATAGATACTCAGAATTGTATCTCTCACGCTATTAGTTGTGATCAACACCAAAAGGCAAAAGCATAAACCAATCTGCAGCCAGTTTGTAAAAGCTGCTATTGAAAGAGTTGTTCAGTAGGAGACTAAAATGATGACAGGGTCAATGAAAGAACTATCTCCTGAAATCATATATACTACAAATATTTTTAATTAAAAAAATTAGCCATGTTCAATGGACTACAGTTGTACATATCATGTATGGATTTTTCTAAGGGCAAAAGACTAATCAGAACTTAATTCAGGGCTTTGTTATCAATATACCATAAAATATATTAGGGAGTCAGACATGGAAATCCCTGAGATCACACAAAGAGGCTATGTTCTCAATTTTTGTCTAAGCATTATCTTTTTTAACAAAACAAAAATAAAACAACAAACAAACAAACCCAGCTTCCCCCCAAAACCCAAACCAAACCCCAAAACACCTGTTAAAAGTCTATGGTCCTGTTCTACCCTAAAACCCTGTAGAATCTTCTGTAAAATAGTAAACTATAATAAAGTATAAAACAGTATAGGAGGTATAAAATGATACTTCCAACATGCTGATTATGTAAGGTACTGATTTTTGTGTAGAATTTGATCCTGGCCAAACTCACCACTACTCTGTTCTACTAGCCAAAAAGCCTTTCTGTATCTGTCTTTCAGCAAAGAGAAAAATAACACAGTATTAAGGTGAATATAATTGTGAATATATGGTGAATTATAACAATACAGTTGTGAGGTGAGGGAAAATGCCTACTTAAGGACAAGGGAAAGGAATGGGGTATACCAAGGAAAAGAGATAGAGTAATTCATATTAATTTCATTTTTGCAGCAACAGACTCTGACATTTGTAATCCAAATGAGCACATGAAAATGAACCTAGGTACAAACCAGACAAAATCATTGCCCTTTACCACAGCTGTTACTGGATGTTCACTACCTATAACATAAAAGCACACTCACAGGAACACAAAGGATTTTGACACTTAATAAAGGTCATGTTTTCCACTACATTCAGAGCAAAATCTGAATATTGGAAGCTTACCTTCTTTCTGTGAGCTGTCTGAAAAGACATGAAGGATTTAACCAGGAGATTTTATGTACTACCTTTATCATTTTTGTCTATAGTAGTCATAGTTGTTCAGCACACTACAAACCTAACTTTCATCTAAGAGGCAAAAAAGAGTTATCATCCTTTCTGTATTGGTGACAAACAAGGACGCAGAAAAGCCATGGCCTACCTCTTCAAAAGGAATTTAAGACATATCAGTGGAACTCCGTTGTCTAAATTATTCTGAAAATGAAGGTTCAATATCACACTATTAAGTCATTAAAAAGAAACCAGGCCTACTGCAAAATGGTCCTTTTCATAAAGGTATTGAAAACCTCAGCTGAAAAACTGGATTGTATGATACATTTTGAAGTTTTAATCTGAAAAAAAATTGTTGAACAGATGCACATGGTATCATTTTTACAGAAAAATGAGCTTTTTCCAGTCAAACTACATGGGAAGATTAAACACATTAAAAGAACTGTACGCATCTGTATATAGTTGACAGATTTTAAAAAATTATTGATTTTTTTTGTTGCTTGTATTTTCTTTATAGTGTATATAATAGCCAAAAGGCTGTGTATACTAATGGAGGTGAATGAACAGCAGTTGCAGATAACAGCCCTACCAGAAGTCAGCTTTTGTTGAGATAAATGTCTGTGTTGTACGTTGTCCCGTACTGCACCGTTAAAAGGGGGCCGGCCCTATAAAATGTTCCTGTAAGCCTTAATGTCTTTTAAGCCTCTAGTTCCTGAATAAACAACAGTTCAAAATCCAATCTCATGTTATTCTCTGAAAATCTATGCTCCTTGATAACATACCTTATTTTATACACCTCAGGTTAAAAGTTATGGTTGCTGTTTCCCTATTTCAGATTTCAGAAGAGAAGCAGCATCATGGGTGCCCACGTTTGCTTCTGCAATAAAATGTCCATTAGACAGGGCTGACCTTTGCCTTTTACTCTACTTTTAAAACATTATAGCAGAATCTGTGAAATTAAGCAGTTCCTGTCACTGTCCCCATTAAGTAACCTGCTTCTGGGCCTGCAAGTTCCCTGGTCCCGCGTGAGGAGGCACCAGCGTCTCCAGAGGGAGGGGGGAAGAGCACGAGGAGCAGGTCTGGGAGAGAGACGTGTAAGGAATAACATTTTTCTCTGCCGAGCATAATGGGGAAAAAAATAGACGAGAACTGCTGTTATGGGCCCGGATCAGCCGATTCTCAAGTTACGTGAGAGCCCCCTAGTCCCCCTTTCGCTCGGGGGTTTCACCAGCAGACATACCAGCTGCTCCGTGAGCCAGCTGTGTCCTCAGCGACACCTCAGACACTTCTCCCGCTACTGCGGAGCCGGCCCAGCCTTGCCAAGGGCGCTCCTTCACCGTTCGCCGGCCCGGCGCCTCAGGGCTCAGCCCGCTGCCGGTACAGGGCCGGCCGGGAGCCATGACGACACAACGGCCTCAGCTGTGCCCCGGGGCCCGCCCGCGGCGGGGCTCTGCCTGAGGGGTGCCTCCGCACGCTCTCGCCACGGGCCCGCCCGGCCCGTGACGGGGCGAGCGGCTCGGGCAGGTGTCTCCCGGGACGGGCGGGTGGGCGGCCGGCGGGGCGAACCCCTGCGCCTCCACAGGTGGCAGCGCATCCTTCCTTCGGGGTCAGCGGGAAGGAGGCGGCCCACAGCCCACACGCCGCAGCCGCCCCACCAGCAGCGTCCAGCCACGGCCCCCCCAGCCCCGCCGCCGCCCCGGTGCCGCTCCGGCCGCACTCCTGCGGCCCCTCCTGAGGAGCGGTGGCTGCCCTTTCGCGCATGCTCGGCGCGGGCGCCATTTTGGTAGGGCCGGGAGTTCTCCAGCGGAGCGGCGGCGGAGCTCGCTGGGCCCGGCGCGGAGGGGGCGAGGGGTGCCCGCTGCGGAGATGGCCAACATCGCGGTGCAGAGGATCAAGCGGGAGTTCAAGGAGGTGCTGAAGAGCGAAGAGGTCAGAGCCTCTCCCCCCTCCCCCTGCACACCGCCGCCACCACCCTTCCCCGTGTGAGCGTGGGCAGCAGTGGACGGTGCGGGTGCCCCGCCGGCCTTCGTGGGGACCCCGCACCCCCCTCGGCCCCACCTCCCCGTGCTGGAGGTGGGCCCGTCCCACGGCATCTGGGAGGGGAATGGCGATTCCCGGGGAGACGGGGCCCGCCAGCCGTTGGGAGGAGGAGGAGGAGGGGGCCGCAGGAAGCGCGGCGGCAGGGCCCGAAGAGGCTGGGCGGGCCGGCCCCCGGCGAGGGCTGCCGGCGCTCGGTGCTCGGGAGCGCCGCCAGGCCGGAGGCCGCGGAGCGGGGCGGGTGGGGCCNGGAGCGGGGCGGGTGGGGCCGGGCCGGCCCCCGCGGGGACCCCGGCACGCGCCCTCCCGCGTCCGCCCGCGCGGCACCGGGAGGGACGCGTGGAGCGGCCTGGGGAGGGTGAGGTGGGTACGTGATCCACACATCCCCTTCAGCTGACCCCAGTGCCAGAGGCTGCAGGGTACGGGTTTAAGGTTTGCTGGTTTTTAGCGGGTGTTATTAAACCTCCATTTAGCTTCGCGGTGTACAGAACTTGCTTTATCCCACTGCAGGCTTACTCACCTTCAGAAGGATGGTTTTAAAGCCTCACTCATTTCAGTCATGTTACCTCGTTTCCTGATCAGTATGTTCAGAGGTATGTGGTGGTCAGTAAGAGAGGCTGACTACTTTCAGGGCAGCATTAAAGAAGTTCTGATCAGTTTGGGGGAATATATAGCAGTGTTTGCAGGGTTGCATCAATACAGCGTTTGCTGTGTCTGTGTCTGAGTTGGTGGACGTCAGCCAGATAGGTTTTAATGGTTGCGTCGTCATTGTCGTCCTACTTGGGATGATGTTGCAGGTTAGATCCTTGTGAAATATTAATGTGAATATGTAACTCTTGAAGCTGGTGTTTCAGAAATCTGGACATATTCACAGAGAAAAAAATTGAGAGGTTAATTTTTGAAAGGTACTAATGGCGTAAGGAAAACACGTTTAGGACAGCAGTAGTTGATGTAGTTTTAAATTGTGTGCTAACCACATTGTTGCTATTCATCTTGAAGTAGCCCCTAGAAAAATGGAAGGGCCTTGTTTTATAGCTGCCTTTAGAGCCCGGGCTGATTTTGCCAGGCTATTGCACAGCAAATGCAGAATTGCATGGAGACCAAGAGAAATTTCTAGGTGGATACCTTTATACCAGTGCTAGAAAACGTAGACCTCATACCCCGTATAACCAGCTGATGCTGTGGAAACAAAGAAGGCTATTTGGAAGTGCTTTCTAAAGGCTTCAAAACACTTTCCCTTTGCTTTGTGTAGCGATAAAAAAAAAACCAACAAACCTTAACTTGTATAGCTTTTGGGGGAGGTGAATGGTAAATTTTCTTACTGTAAAGGTTGGATCCAGTGTGCACATTTTTGACTCTTTCTGTTTGTTTAGTCTGCAGGACACAGAATTTTGGAAGTGGTTATTATTATAAGATAGCCTTTGAGCTGCCTAAAGCTATCCAGAAAAAAGGTCATAATTCTTATGAAGTTCAATTAATGGAATTTCAAAATCATAGTACAGCAAGCTACATAAGTGTCATGATATATTAGTATGTATAAAATTGCTGTTTACAGACTATACTAACTCCCATGTCTTGAATGCAAAATTTCAGCATTACTCAATGGTTATCAAAGTTGCAAGCAAAGTTTTTTTGTGAATGTTTGTACATTCCAGGGCAGTCAAACGATGGTGTCATTATCATTGGGTGTGAAAACATCTGGAGTGGGATGATGAATGAAGGCCCAAATAAATACTGCAAATCACAAAACAAAACAAAATAAAAGGAGTTTGCTTACTATTCACTAAAATTATTATTGAACATGGTTTCTTCAAAAATAAATAAATCTTTTTAATGAATGGCAATGTAGAATTTGTTGATTAGAAGTTTGCAAGTCCCTCTCTGAAAGCAGAATGTCTCACATTATCTGTTCTTAAATGATTCCTGATTTAATGCTTTGAACTACTTGAAGAGCAGCTCCCCCCTCCCCTTTTCCTTGTAGATGTAGTAGGAGCACAAATGCCTGGGAAGGGGATAGGCACACAGGGGGAAAAACTGCATAGAAGTTTGTTCTGTCTTCTTCCACAATTCACCTTTATGCTGAAATAGAGTGGTGGGACCAGAAATTTTTTTAAAAGGGAGCAGCTGGATGACAGTTAATTCCTTCTGCATTTGAAGAATGTGTTGGAAGTGCTAAACGAACTGTAAAGTGTGTTTATCCTTGCTGTGGATAAGGATCTATGAATCCTTGCTACTCAGGACTAAATATGCTTTTCATATTACTTAGCACTTCCTTTTTCCTTGAATGAAAGTTCTGGGAAATAACTAAAATGTGAAATACTACCTTGCTCTCTGGTTTACAGATAAGAGATGAAGGATCTTCCATATTTCTAAGTTGAGTCTGGGACTTCTTGAGTGTTTTGTAAAAGTATTTAAAGTCTTTTCACACTTGAGGAAAAGTGCTTCTGCTCTGCTTGCTTTATTATTTGCGGTTTTGTTGTAACCTTAAGAAGTAGGATATTGTTTATTTGAGAGATACCCATAGCTTTGCATCTCTTAAATATTTGAATTAAATAGATAAAACTAACTAAAGTTTCTTTGTCAGGAGTGCTCTCTAAAGAATGATTTTTAAACTTGTGTGTGGAGAAAGATTTACAGTTCTAAGGTAGGTCAGGTATTGTGCATCTGTAACAAATATAAAGTTGTTAAGTTAGCCTAGGTAGTAACTTTACTGATTAAATATGTGTAGGCAAGGGGATCAGATGTACTACTTTATCTCTCTCTTTGTTCTGTCATTTCATTAATCTGTTTTCTTGTTGTTTTTATGGGCTGAAATTCTGAAGCTACAAAATGTATCTTGAGCAAAAGTATGAAGCTGCAGCATGATGAGAAACCAATGAAGAGGTGGAAGGAGAACAGTATCCCACTTTTACTAAGTAGGAGAAAGTTTTAGTGAAGGTTAGCTGATGTTATTTTTAGATTAAGTTACTAGAATGCTGCATTGGGTAGCCAAATCCTGACCTGCTCTCTGTTTATAAGTAGCTATCTTATGGGAGGGAGAACTTGCCTGGCATTTAATAATGAATAGAGACATATGGAAGGATCTTGTGGTCACTTAAAGACTGATGCTGAGACATGTTGTAATTGATCAGGTATGTTAAACATTATGTGTGACTTGTTTTTTGTAATTTAATAAAGCATCAGTGTTTACTTTGAAGAAATTATACTATGCTAGTAGTGAAGGATTCAATGTTTGATTGGCCATCCACTTTCTTTTATCATGTGGAAATATAAGGTGTTTTCTACTAATTGATACCTTTTGCAGTGAAAACTCTAATCTGATATTGAAGGTGACACATTGAGAAACATAGCTTCCTTCTAGCAAGAAGGGAATTGCTGGTATATCTACCACAAAGCATTCTTCTCTTACAAATGTGAAGAGACATTTCTGGCAGGTAAATCCAGGTAGAGCTGAGAGTAAATTAAATGCAGCTGCAATTATGGAGTATTGCATTGAGTATCTTCATGAACTGATGTCTGAAGTAGCAGTGTAAATTTGCAACTTGCTTGAACCCAAAACAGCATTCAAGCAAAGATAGTGGGTTAACAACAAAAACTTCAAGTACTTGATTTCCAAGAAGGAAATGAGTTTGTTTCGAAGTCTGCTAGGTGTTTCAGTGATTTGCAGGTGAAAGGGAAGGGAAAAATAGCTGTAGTCTGCCATACCTTTCTTGGACTTGTAAAGACCTAGTGAGCAGCTCTCATGTTGGCTTTTATCATTGCCTTTAGTGGTCTTGTGATTTATGTCAGTATATAGCAAGATACTAAGTAACATCTCTGAAAATATTTTTGCTGTTTGGAAAAGCCATAGATACTTAATCTTCAGGCTCATAAAAATTCATTGCTTTAGTTTGTTTATATTTAGGCAGTCTTGGGTGCTAGATACTGAATCCACTAATGTGGAAACTTCTGGTTGTAATAGTATTTTAATGTAAGTAGGATTCTTGTTTTTCTTCCTATTTATCATGTAGGAGCAATACAGGTATTTATAAGAATGAAATTTCTTCTGTTATGGTTCCTGAGTCAGCAACATATATGTTTTAAACAGTATCCATTTTGTGGTGATGCATGTGCTTAACCTTTGAATTGTAAGAATAGTCACACTGAAGTCAGTAGAGGTTCAGTGAGTGCAGTGGGATTGTTGTCGTGTTTAATCCCAGGGGGCAGCAAGTGCTGTGCAGCTGCTCAATCAGATACCCCACTGCCCACAATGGGCCAGGAAGAATTAGAAAAAAGATAAAACCCGTGAGTGAAGAGCAGTTCAGTAATTTGAATAAAGTAAAATATAGTAAAAATAATGGAAAGGGAGATTACAAAAAGAGAAGAATAAAACTGGAGGAAGACAAGGGATGCCCAGTGCAATTGCTCACCACCTGTTCATCTGTTCCCAGCTCATCCCAGCAGCAACCAGCAGCTCCCAGCCAATCCCCCCAGTTCTGTACTGAGTGTGACATTCTTTGGGATGGAACATCCCTTTGGCCAGTTTGGGTCAGCTGTCCTGGCCATGCACCCTCCTGCCTTCCTCTTCCTGTGCTCGCTGGCAGAGCATGGGAAACTATAAAGTCCTTGACTTAGACTAAGCTGTACCCAGCAACATCAGTGTGTTATCAACATTATTCTCAGACTGAATCCAAAACCCAGCCCTGTATCAGCTACTAGGAAAAAAATTAACTCTGTCCCAGCCAAAACCAGGACAACTGTGTGAAAAAAGTTTGAGTGTGCTTAGTTGATT